CCCATCCATCTCCCTTCAGCTACCTCAAAAGAATAACGGACCACGATGTCTTCTTAGGGTTTTGATCTCTTCACTAAGAAACTTATGAACAGGAATTCAATGCAATCATCCATTAGAAACTACCATAACATCATGCTCTTGGTCAGATTCTGCCACGGAACGATTCGAGATGGTGTCGAGGGGCGACTCGTCAGATGGAGATCTTCCAGGAATGCGATTTATTGTCAATCTTGTCAAGGTATGTACACAAAACAGCTATAAACTTACGTGATTTTCCTGCATATAGCTCTTTTTTTAAGGACCCATCAAGTGGACTTGGCCTTACGTTGGTTGACGGTAACTTAAATGGCGTCAAGGGTGTCTATGTGAAGTCCGTTGCTGAAAATGGCGCTGGAATGCGAGCAGTAAGTTCCTTGTCATAGAATCAACACACTCCATTTGTCATTTTATTTTTATCATTTCCTATGAGAAAATAGACCTTGAATGTTTTCGATGTTTCGAAAACTGGCGTTCTGAAAATGTAAGCCAGGAGTATAAATTAAATCGAGCCATGGGGTAAGGAGGATTTTCGGTGGACACCCTCACTTTTGTGCCTCGTTTAATTACTCATTTATAGTCTTACGTTCAGGGTCTATGTGTGGGTGACCGTTTGTTGGGTGTCGATGGTGCCTCGCTTGAGGGCGGTGATCGACATCGTGCAGTGGAACTCGTCCGACAGGCCGGTGATACCGTCTGTATGGAAATCGCCCGATTGGACGGAGTAGTACGTCATGAAAAATGTAAGTTGCCGTATCTGAAGAATGAAAATGATGGATGCCTTAGGCGGGGTTCAATTGGCCGCAGCAGTGCATGCTTCTTAAGATGAGTATTGATTTTACGCGTGTGAGATGATACTTCCGCGGTTATTTGATGTCAGAGTAGCGATCAAAATTTTCTGCCTAGTCTGTGTTTGTGATAGATTTTGTGCGTGTCGGTGAAGCTTTTGATTTGATGCTCAGCTTTCGCCTTTTTGTTGTCGTTTGTGATTTGCATGTGATCATCATGGTGATTTGTGATTGTAGCTCAACGTAGTAGTGACAATACTGTGAAGAAATCCGGTGCCAACAGCGGATCGGCTGGAGTGATTACTGTAACGCCACCGAAAGGTTCTTTTCTTTCAGAGTTTCTTTACTTGCATGATCTTCTATATGCGGTGATTAGCTTGAAACTTATATGGAAGGGATATGCCTTAAAAGGAATTTAGGTGTGTCTCGCACACCGCCGGCTCCACGACGTGCTGCAAATCGACGGCAGCGGGCAGTGTCCGATTTTGGTGCCATTGGTGATACGTTGCCGGCTCTCGACAGCGATAATGTGATCAATATTAAAGCAATTTCCGGGTGAGTCATCGTATTGCGGAGCTTTCGTAGTCTAAGGGGAAAAATAAATTGTTGGCAGACGCTTTGTTCTGGATTTTTGAGCCGGAAGAGGAGAACGATTTCAGTTTACAGAGTTAATCGCATATTTTGTTCTCCGAAAAGAACATTAGACAGTCAGGATGAGTGCATGTATATCCTTGCTCCGATGCCACTGAACTAACGGTATGGCTATGGCAGTTTTCGCTTTCGCTGGCAATGCTACAGGTTCTAAGTAACTAGTAACCTGCTTTTGAACTTATGGCGGTAATGATCTCAGTGTATCCACGATCAAATAATCAATAATCGATCGCCTGATCGAAGAAATTTACGGAATCNCCCCTTTAACTCTCTGCTCCGGCTATGCGGATCCACCAAGTTCGACGTATTCTTTGCAAATACTAGTAAGACCACATGGAATCCTGCCTGTCATTAAAGAGATCCAAACATAGCGATCCGTTCACATTAGATTTCGGTGTAAGTTAAGATTTATAGATCGAGATTTACTCCGTTCAGATTACACCTGGATGAGTCGGATGAGGAACAAGGCGAATACCGTCTGCCAACTACTTCAATGTATTCGTTTGAACATCAGTACGATGATGAAAGCCCAACATCTCCCACAGCAAAGGTAAAAAAATCATTTTTTCTCAACTTCAACAGAAAATTTCCTTCATGTTCAAGTCTATGACTTTTGAAGCTATTAAAATGACTTCTGCTGAAAGTTTATTTAAATTTGACGAAATGTTGGCAAATGATTGTTTCTATATAATGAATGTGAGTGGAGAAGTTGCAAGGAATAGCTTAATGTTGCATAAAGAAATCTTTATGCCAAAGAAATTGTCTCAGTGTAGTATCATTAGGGGTCCGCAGCTCATTATGTGATTCCCACGCCCATTTCCAATCCCAAAGAACTCACTCGATTCAACACCTACATGTTTTAGACTCCAGAGGATTCCCAACCATCTCGACACATGCCTCCGTCGACAGACGGAAGGCGGAAATATCGATATGCAAGGTATGTTGTCCTTATTCATTAATTCAGACGAGGGTGGTTCAGGGGTAACAAGCACATATGACAAAAGTTGTTTGGGCCAAGATAGCATTTCATCTCGTTAAACGCGAGTTAAGGAATAACGGTAGTGTTACAGCTGCTTAAAAAGGAAAAAAAAACGCTATCCAGTCACTGGTTGTCGAAATCGTTTCCGTAGAGAACATGATCCTGGATAACACTGTATGAAGGGTACCTTTCTTCCATCTAATAGTACACTTGTTTCAACCTTCCAGTCGATTCAGCAATATGGACAGAATTCGCGTACATGGCTTATTCCGACTTTCAATTTTACTGGTTTTTAGGTACCTTTCTGAAGCATATGTAATATGCTGTCTACACTAAATGAGCTTGGAATATAGCTATCGAGCCCTTCGAGCCTTACAATCACTTCGGCAATATAGGGCGAAATTCGTATGCATGGAGTATACCCGATCTTGGTTGGGGGTGAAATGCTGCTACTGGAACACCTTCGACCCCTCTAATCGCTTTGGTTACATGGACAAAATTTGTTAGCATGGCGTATAGAGGTTCATTGGATGCCTTCTTCCAAATACATAGACCTGGAACCACTAACCCGGGACATTGTTTCCGGTGTTGTCTAATTTTTTCTTACATCCCAATATTGTGAGATAATCTTATCGAGGACGTTATCTTGAGCACGTCCATTTTGTACGCAGTTTTCTCCTCAGCAACAGTTACACCCTCAAATCGAGAGGGACCATTATACGATAACTCTTTCATTGAATGTCGTCATCAAAGTTCACGTGCCGGTATTGTTTCAGAGGAAGCAAATTCTTATCAGACGGTTAGTCCTTAGCAGATTTGCGTTTGAGCATAATGATGGGCACCCTCATTAGAACAGGCTCCTGAAACTTCTTCTTGAAAAAAAAA